TGCCCAGAGAGGTTGTGGAGTCTCCTCTGGAGATCTTCAAAACCCGCTTGGATGCAGTCCTGTGCCACGTGCTCTAAATGACCCTGCGTGTGCAGGAGGTTGGACTAGATGACTTCTAGAGGTCCCTTCCATCCTCAAGCATTCTATGATTCTATGATTGTATGATTCTAAGCATTGCGCCAGCATTGGACCAAAGCATCATTTATTCTGACCCTGGCAGTTTGAAGGCACTAGTATTTATACAGTAGCCCCACAAATCCCAGAGGTCATCTCCTCAGGGCACATAAGCCAATGTGCTTTAAGTTATTGCAGTTTAGGCCAATTTATAGCAGCTGAGGCTCTGTCAGAAAGTTTGCAAGGCCATGGAAAACACTGCAGCTAAGACTATTCTTGGTCTTCATTTCCCTTAGGTGGTGTGAAATAGATGTTTGTATCAAGTGAGTCTGTATGACATCAGAGGGACAATCCATTTCTTGAGTACTAAAATACAATAGAAAGGAAATAAAGGAGTGCAAAGAGCTGTAAATAGTCCGTTTAAGCAAAGCAGGCCTCTCTGCCTTCAGTTTGAAAATAGGGTTTTTTTTGCCTTAACTATATCATTTTTTTTTCTGTAAGTCTATCTAATTTTAAATATGAGACAATATTTATTTCCTGTTCAAATAGGCAAGAATAAGCCACGTTATAAAAAGTTGTGATCATGACCGGGTTTAAATATAACACAGCAGTGTCGGAGCCTGTGCACATCTGCATACACACTCCCAGAATACATTTAATGTATAGACACACACATTTACATAAAACATGCAAATTGCATTATCACTTCTCAGAATATGAAACAGATTTTTTCAACATGCTTCTAATGAATTAAAAATAATTTTGCAGTAAGTATAATGAAAAGCTTACTTACATGAGCGTCTTATCAGAAGTCCTTATTTAGACATGCAATGGCTGATCTTCTACCAGGATTTTTTTTCAGTTGTATGGATGCAATTCTTAAACTTCCATGATTCATTTATAACCAAATGGTAGCTTGGATAAAAGAGTACACTTGACAAAGCAACAATGCAAACCTAAGGATTTAACCATAAGTTTAAAAACATTATTTGGCCATGTACACTATTAACTAGTTTTCGTTTTTAACAAATAATAATAGATAATAACAAACAATAACTCCTTGCATCCGAGCTTGCTAAAAACTAGTTTCTTCTGTAATTAAAAATAAAGGCAATACAGATTTATTGTACCAGGACATAATCCAGCAACTGGACACTTCTTAGTGGACTATATATGGAATAGAGAATGATTATTAGCTGTGATGATGATACAAAGCTGGGAAGGACCTGCACATATGTTGGAGGACAAAATCAGAATTCAAAATGGTCTAGGCAAATTGCAAGACAGTAGTATGAAAAATATGTTACAATTCGGTAAAGACAAGTGTTGGAGCCTTGAGACTCTGCATCAAATGGGAGAGGAAGCACGGGGATTGACATGGGGAGTAGCTGGGGGAAATGGTAGGACTCCTGTCCCCTAGTGTCCCTGTCAAAGCTAATGGATCATGACGATATGGCCTTGGCAAAGATGACTCACGAAGACACTAGATTAAAAAGGGCCAAGAAATCACATGACGAAGAGAAGTTTTCAGTAAGGTAAATCACAGAATCCCAGAATGGTTAAGGTTGGAAGGGACCTCTAGAGATCATCTAGTCCAACCCCCCTGCTCCAGCAGGGACACCTAGAGCACGTGGCACAGGGTGGCATCCAGGCGGGTTTGGAAGATCTCCAGAGAAGGAGACTCCACAACCTCCCTGGGCAGCCTGTTCCAGGGCTCTGTCACCCTCATAGGAAAGAAGTTCTTCCTCATAAGGAGATGGAACTTTCTGTGCTTCATCTTGTACCCATTACCCCTTGTCCTGTTGCTGGCCGCCACTGAGAAGAGTTTGGCCCCATCCTCCCTACATTTTCCCCGGAGTTGATAAGACCCCCCTCTCGATCTTCTCTTCTCCATACTAAACAGGCCCAGCTCACTTAGTCTTTCCTCATACGATAGATGCTCCAGTCCCTTAATCATCTTCGTTGCTCTACGCTAGATCCTGTCTGGAAGCTTCATGTCCCTCTTGTACTGGGGAGCCCAGAACTGCCCCCAATACTCCAGGTGCGGCCTCACCAGAGCTGAGCAGAGGGGCAGGATCCCCTCCCTCCACCTGCTGGCAACGCTCCTCCTGATGCAGGCCAGGATCCCATTGGTCCTCTTGGCCACAAGGGCACACTGCTGCCTCATGGTTAACTGGTGTCAACCAGGACTCCCAAAGAGTGAAGAAGCAAGAAGACACCACAAACAAAGCAAGATAATCTTTCTTGCACTGAGGCGTAATACTTGTTATTTAAGTAAACAGAAAAGATTCTGCTTTTTTTTTTCTTGCATTGCTAAGTAACTAGACAAGAAATCCAAGGGCGATAAGAGCATTGACTTGGAAGATGAAAGGAGAAATAAGAAGAAACTAGCTGACACAGCCTTGAGAAGACAACCAAGGGTCAGGTCCAGCTGATTCATCTCTCATCTAAAAAGCCTGCTACATTTGTCCCAAACCTACTAGGAAATCTTGCTTGAATCTGCTCCCAAAAGTCTGATAAAGCTCATCTCTGTGCAGTGGGACCACATCTCTAAGAAAGTTCCTGAATGAGTTGGGAAAATGGTATTTGAAACTAAAATAATAGTTTGGTGTATTCTAAGTTGCTCCCAAACTATTCTTCAAGAATTTGCTTGCAACCTAATCATCCTTTACTGAAAGGAAATCCAAAGCAAGGCTGAGGCTTGTTCTTTGTGTGAGTTTCCTTAAGGAAATGAACTCTGATTCTTGCTGTATTAACAAATGCTTTTCCCCTGCCTGCACTTCCCAGTTTAATACAGCTCTGAAAATCCGGTAGGAAGTGCTAGTGACAGGGTAGCATTCTCACACAGTACCAAAGGCTTCAAGAAAGGAGTTTAAGAGAGCTTCCTGCTAGAGCTTCACAGCCCTCTCTAGGTCTGTTCCCTTTTTTTTTTTTTTCTTCCTTTTTTATGACTCTTCTCTCTGTATTTAAAACCTCTGATTTTATCATGGATTTTTGATACCGGGTCTTAAATCACTCACTATTAGAGCACCCAAACAGAGCATAAACCTTCTGGCTTCTGTTTAAAACAAACAAACAAAGTCAAATTCAGGAGGGTGTAGCAAAAAGAAGCAATAAGGACTAAAAGGCGAATTTAGTATTTGGTGTTAATACCCAAAGCCTCAGGCTTTTCAGGCCTTTATTGCTTGTCTTTGAAGGCCAG